GAAATTAGTCACTGCTATCGGCGGTGGATACTCCAGGGACGAACCAAAAAAATTATGCTAAATCGGTAACAAGTCGATTTACATTTGATTCAACCTACGATGAACTAATTCAAATTAATCAAACTAACAACACAATAGCTGAAAGTTAAAGCTAGGGGAAATAATGCAGCGAGAAACTGCAATATGCATTGACTCTGATGGCAGCATAATTACAGGAGATCGGGTTATTGGGTTATGATTCATGTCAACGTATAAACTATAAACTTACACTGACTAGAGTTTAGTGATAAGAAAAAGAGGAAAGGGAAGGGAAGGCACATCGTCAGAATTATTTTGACCATTATTAACTAGAGCTCAGGCTAATAAACGCATTTGTTTAACCATCAAAGACTAACAAAATTTTGGGTATGAATAATATCATGTAATATTTCAGTCAGGTGAAATCTTGGCCCTTAATTAAAAATAAAATAGGATATTTAAATAATAATAAAATAATATATAATGTTTTGTTGGTAGAGATTTCTATTGGAAAAAATACAAGTAAAAACTCATTCTCTGAAGTTTTCTTTGATTTTGCTAATCAGTGTTTTTGGACATTGATTAAGGAATTAATATATAGAATTTTTGTTATTACGTAGTAAAATTTACAATAAAGTTATACAAAAATTATATAGATATACTTTCGATATATACTTTTTATTTTTAGTTCTTTGATGTTTATCAATGCCTTAACAACACTCTTACTTATTCAGGATAATGGACAGTATTTTTCTTGTTTTTTCCTCTTCAATTTACATTAATTTTAAGATTTGTTTGACCCTGAGAATGGTAAATTTTTGGGGTGTTTGGTATGGTCATAAATACGGTATCAGGAACTGTACAGTTACAGTCATTAACAAATCACGAGCGGTTGTCGTTCCTTATTCAGTTGGTAACTTGAAGCTGTCACCCTTTGCATTTATTTAGGTTTTGTCTGCACACAACCAATCATATGTAGACATGGAGTACTAAAATTGATCAAAAACATGTAGTAGTATTTTTTACTAAGAGGGATACGTTTACTTCATAAATAAATATCTGACTTAATCACTTATATAATGTTAGTATAATTTTTTTTTTACACTGACAACCAATCATATATTTTAATAGTGTCATGTCAGTTGCTTATTTAATAAAATAAAAATAAAATAAAATAATTTAAAAGATTTGATTGGTTGTCAGTATAAAAAATTTTACACTGGCAGTGTATGGATGATTAACTCTAAATCTATTTAGACTTATTTCGTTCAATAATTCATGTTCTATATTAAATCTCAATGATTTAACTATTAAATTTAAAGTTCTTAATCAAGTTTGCAAATTTTTAAAAAATTTGAAACCATTTAATATTTCATTTCATTAATTCAAATCAAAGATAATCAGAAAATTATTTTATACATTAATTTGAATTAATAAAATAAAATATCAAATGATTTTCAAATTTTTTTAAAATTTGTAGATTGAATCTATGGATTAAGAACTTTAAATTCAGTTTAGGTCTTATACCAATTGTTGGACCTCTATGGTGAATATAATAAAATAAGCATTACTTGGTCATTGGTCCTTGATACAAATTACAGAATAAGAATAAACAATATAGAGTATAATGTGGAAACATAACTTCACTTGTAGCCATTATTATTATAAAGAAACCATACAAATATTAGAGAAAGAAAATTTAGAGAGAATAGAGAAGTCTTCTAGCTTTTGCCTTTTTTGAATTTGTGAATCAATGGAGCATTGTGACACCCT